AATGCAGAATTAAGTGTGTGCACATTACCACAAATAGGATTTGAGGTTTGCCTCAGATCATCAGATAGGTCACTGACCCCTGAAACACAAGAGAATTTGACTTCTGGACAGATAGAGGTTAAGAACCAAGGCTCTGGAGCCCCGAGTGCTCGATTTAATACCCATGACTGTCACAGCTGTGCAACCTTAGACAAATCACTCAACCTTTCTGTGCCTTGGTTTCCTCATCTGAAAATGGAGAAAGTACCATGACCTATTTCATAGACTATTAAATGGATTCATATATGTAAAAGATTTAAAAGGAAACTTGGCATGTGGTAAACTATTTGTTAAGTGAATGGTGAGGCTGCCCAGTACAGGAGGGCAGAGCTTTCTTGATAAAGACTTTCTAGGCCTTCCAGGATTCTCAGGCCTTCTCTGTGTTGGTGCTTGTCATACATTACAGCAGCATTCCTTCCAAAGGGATGCCCAGCTGTGGCTGCACACTGCAGTTAGATCCAGTTGATCGACAGCACTGTTCGTTTCGACTGTGTCCTTACTGACTTTTGCCAGTTGGATCTGTCGATTACAAACAGAGAGGTGCTGAAGTCTCCAACTTCCAATATTACCCAATAGTATTATTATTCAGAATAATTGCAGATTTCTCTATTTCTCATTGCTGCACTCAGTTTTTGCCTTACATATTTTGACCCTCTGTTGTTAGTTGCGTACACATTAAGGATTGTTAGTTACGTCTTCTTGGAGAATTAACCCCTGAATCATTATATAGTGCCACTTTTTTTTTCATTTAAAAATTTTATTTTTTTTATTTTTTGAGACAGGGTCCTGCTCTGTTGCCCAGGCTGGAGTGCAGTGGCACAAACACAGCCCACTGCAGGTTAACCTCCTGGGCTCAAGCGATCCTCCCGCCTCAGCCTTCCCAGTAGCTGGGGCTATAGGAATGTGCCACCTCTAATAGGCTTTATTTAATTTACAGTAACATTCGTTCATTCCCACGCTAGTCTAGGGACATGGCCGAGACTGGGTAATTTATAAAGAAAAGAGGTTAGACTCACAGTTCTTCCGGGCTGGGGAGGCCTCAGGAAACTTATAATCATGGCAGAAAGGGAGGCAAAACACGCCCTTGTTCACATGGCGACAGGAAGGAAAAGGTCAAGAAAAGGGAGGAAAAGCCCCTTATAAAACCATCAGATCTCATGAGAACTCACTGTCTATCGCGAGAACAGCACGGGGAAACTGGAGGTCCCTCCCCCAATGCATGGGGATTACAATTCTGATTACAATTCCAGATGAGATTTGGGTACGGACACAGAGCCAGACTATATCACATTATTATTCATTTGTGCCTTCTGTCTTAATTTTTTTGATTTGCCTAGGTAGAGATTTATCAATTTCATTGATATTTTCAAAGAACCATCTTTTGATTTCTTTGATTTTTCTTGATTGATTTTTCTATTTTTAATTTCATTGATGTATGCTCTAATTTTGTATTTTTTTCTTTTGATTGTTTTAGACATATATTGCTCTTCTGTTTCTAGTATTCTAGACGGAAACAGATTATTGATTTTAGAACTTTCTTTTTAAGATATGCATTCAATAATATAAATTTCCCTCTAAGCACTGCTTTTGCTACATGTCGCAGATTTTGATGGGCTATGTTTTCGTTTTCATTTAGTTAAAAATATTTTTAATTTCTCTTATGATTTCTTCTTTGATCCATATGTTATTTAGAAGTGTGTTTTTAAATCTCTAAATATCTGAGAATGTTTTGGCTTTCTTTCTGCTACTGATTTCTAATTTGAATTCATTGTGGCCTAAAAGCATACTTTGTATGATTTCTAATGTTTTAAAGCTCTTAAAGTTGTTTTATGTCCCAGATTGTGGTCTGTCTTGGTGATCATTCCACATGAACTTGAGAAGAATATGTATTCTCCTGTTATGAGATGTAACATTCTATAAATGGATACTCTGTTAATATGACCTCAGGTGACGCTTTTTTTTTTTTTTTTTTGAGTTGCTGCTTCGCCATTGGCTTTTGGAGATTTCAAAGATGGTAAAATCCCCAGGATTTTCTGCCTCTCAGGCAGACTTCCTCATCCTACGCCTGTGGAACTGTTGCTTGAAATTGACAAGCAGGATAGCTAGCTCTTCCCGGCTAATTTTATTTCACTTTATTGGGTTCAGCCTGCTGCTTTAGGCGATGAGGTTGAAAGAACTGGTATGCTGGAATCCACGGTGGGCTCAGAAGCAAAAAAACGTGGGTTCTGATTCTAGCTCTGCCCTTTACCCAGCTGTGGGACTTGGTGTATGGGTTATTTGACCTCTCTGGCCTCAGTTTCCTTAACTAGAAAGTTGCCTTGCAAGATTCTTGTGTGGATTCGTTAAGGTAATACTTCTAAAGCACTTGGCAAAGTGTCAAGTACAAGGTAAGTGCTGGGCAAGCAGGGGTTCTGTTGACACAAAGCCTTGGGTCCATGTAAGGAGGCTGGTTCCAATGGCTCTGCTTAACCAAGACCTGAGAGTGAGTGCTCCATCCGCGGAGGAGTACAGGCTGAAACTACCTGGCAACACATCAGAGGTGGGGTGTGCCCAGGATATCCTTGCCCAGGTTGGCAGCTGAGCTTGGCAGGTGACCCCGGAGGCCCCTTCCAGCTCCCGCACTTCAGGAATCTCTTGATTTAGAATGGGAACTTGCACTCACTTCTCCTGCCATGTGTTTGATCATGATAACCTGACACTTACCTTTTTAATTCTTTTACTCACCTGCATCTTTGTTGTTTTTCCCTCTGATGTGCAGGGAGGCCTCTTCTCCCACTGCCGCTGTGATTTCCCCTGAAATGTAGCACCCACACATCCCTGAGAAGCTGGCTGTGGCGCGCATGTGTGCGGTGTGTGTGTGTGTGTGTGTGTGTGTGCATCTATGTGCACGCACATGCATATTCATAAGTCTGGGTCTGCTTTCCACAACAGATTAAGGATCTCAATCCTGACGCCATGCTGTGAAGTTTTAGTGAATCCTGACTGGGTTACTTGACTCCCCCGTTTCCCTTTGGAGGCCTTTACCGTGAAAGTCTTCTGCTGTGTGACCTTGGACAGGCGTCTCGGCCTCTCTGTTCCTCTTTATTCAAAATTGAGGCTAAAGTGACACCTTTACCATCTCTACCACAGGATACTGTGGGCATCTGTGTAGTTGTGAGAGTGAAAGTTACCAGGACTTGCGGAGGAAATCCGTGTCGGGAACCCACCACCCCGCTCCCGCCCCACCTTTTTGTAGCTCTACTGTAAGTCTCAGCAAGGAAGATGAGTTTGGGCTTTGAGCAGACACCAGGCCTCCCCTAGGGGGAGTTTTGCAGCCTCATGCTGAGCTGGTCAGGGGCCCCACATCATGTCCAAAATGAATTTAATCGATGAAAGTGATGGTACCAGGCGCCGTTGTAGGTACTGAGAACTCAGCAGTCAATGAGACGGACCCTGGCTGTCAGGATGACAGACCATTTAAAAAGGGACAGCTGTCCCACGCTGGCTTGTCCTTTGCACCCCGGCACTTCGTGAGGAGTGTCGGCTAGTTCCTGCATAGACCGGCCCTCGCTTTACGTCCATCTGACGTTTCCAAATGGTTTATGCATCCCCGGCAGGAACCCAGGAGAAGATGCTGTGTTCTTCTCAGGCATTGTTTCAGGGAGGTGACGATGGCGATTTGTCCCATTCCTGCTGGTTAGTTAGAGCACTTGGTTAAGGTGGTGACTGCCAGGCTTCTGTATTGTGACGTTCATTGATACGTATTTGCACTCATTCGTTAAGATACAAGTTTTGCAGGGAGTTACTTTGAGGCTGTTCTTAGAGCTTTCTTTTCTTCCCTATTTATTTATTTATTAGAGATGAAGTGTGGCTCTGTTGCCCAGGCTGGAGCGTGGTGGTGCGATCAGAGCTCACTGCAGCCTCCAACTCCCGGGCTCAAGCCATCCTCCTGCCTCAGCCTCCCAAGGAGCTGGGATTACAGGCACATACCACTGCACCCCTCCCACCCCCCCATTTATTGTTCTATGTCAGTACAGACTCCTGGATGTTAACTCCAAGCGCTACAAGTGGGTACCATAATATTTACTTTGATGCTCAGACTGTGTCCATTTCGTCCAGGTCAAGCTAGCCGCTAAGCACTTCCTCACCGGTACTTATCTGGTACTTTTCCTTCTCCCGGAATCAGCCATTACTCTAAGGAGCTCTGGTTCCTTTCAGTGCAGAATAGCATTTAGAAGCCAAGACCTGGTCACTAGGATGGCACGATAATCAAATGCGATGAATGATCTTGGATGGGATTCAGGATGTATAAGGAGCATTACTGAGGCAATTGGCAAAACGCAAACAGGGGCTGTGCGTGAGACAGCGGCGATGCGTGCATGTTGATTTCCTGATATTGGTGGTTGTATTGTGGTTATGCAGGGAAGGTCCTTGTTTTTCTGGCATGTACACTGAAGTATTGGGGTACTTTATTCATTATGGAGATACATGAGTGTGTGTATCTATAAACTCATCTTAAGTTGAAAATATTATTAAGTCAGAAATGCATTTCATACTCCTAACCTACTGGACATCATAGCTTAACCTAGCTTGGAACACTTACATTAGCCTACAGCGTTTTGAGAAGCATAGATCACAAGGTCAGAAGTTCGAGACCAGCGTGGCTAACATGGTGAAACCCCATCTCTAGTAAACATACAAAAATTAGCCAGGGCTGTAATCCCAGCTACTAGGGAGGCTGAGAGGCAGGAGAATTGCTTGAACCCAGGAAGTGGAGGTTGGAGTGAGCTGAGATTGCACCACTGCACTTCAGCCTAGGAAACAGCGCGAGACTCCGTCTTGGGGGTGGGAGGGTGGGGAGGATAGGGCAGGGTGGGGGTGTGGGGAGGACAGGGCAGGGCAAGGGAGGGGGTGCGTGTTAAGTAAGGTGAGCGCTGCTGGAAGCACAGGTTGGCACTAACCAGCTTGTTCTCTGTCTGCAGATGCCTCGGCATCTCCCAATGGGGTGGCTTTGCCCTTGGCTCCTGTTCCCTGTGAGCTGCCTGGTCCTGCTGCAGGCGGCAGGCTCTGGTAAGTCACCACCTCTCAACCATTCATTTGTTGGCTATTAATGGCATGCCAGGATCCTGCAATACATCAACTGGCGTTATGGAGACTACACTGCAGTGGGAGGGGACAGCCAATGACAGGTGGCTCTGATTATCAGTAAATTCTAAAGCTTGTTAGAAAGTGATGGGGGCTGGGTGCAGTGGCTCACGCCTGTAATCCCTGCACTTTGGGAGGCCGAGGTGAGAGGATTGCTTGAGCCCAGGAGTTTGAGGTCAGCCTGGGCAACACAGGGAGATCCTGTCCCTACAAATAATAAAAAATATTAGCCAGCTGTGGAGGTGCATGCCTGTAGTCCCAGCTACTCAGGAGGCTGAGGTGAGAGGATTCCTTCAGCTCTGGAGATCAAGGCTGCGGTGAACCGTGATCATGCCATTGCACTCCAGCCTGGGTAAGAGAGTGAGACCCTGTCTTACAAAAAAAAGAGAAGGTGATGCGGAAAGAACACAGAACAGCATAAGGGGTGCTGGGAAGCTGGGTGGAGTGGGGACATTGCAGTTTAAAGTAGGGCAGCCGGGAAGGCCTCACTGAGCTGACTTGGAGGAAGTGGGAACTGTGCGCATATCTGGGGAAGGATTATTTTGAGCAGAGGCCATGCACTGAGCCTGGCTGGAGGGTTGGGCGCAGGAGGGGACGTGGTGGAGGAGAGGGAGCAGGAGGGGGCAGGGAAGGTCAGCGAAGTGACGGGGTTGCTGGTTCAAAAAGGACCTTGCAATATTTGAGCAGAGGAGTCACAGAATCCATTCTGTTCAAAAGGACCCCTCAGGCTGCCTCGTAGAGAGGGGACGGGGTGGAAGCCAGGAGGTCTGGAGTGGAGGAGATGAGAGGCTCTGGATCCTTCTGGAAGGCAGATTTGAGGACAGATTGGAATTGGGATGAGAGAAAGAGAAGTGCCCAGGATGACGCCAAGATTTCTGACCCAAGCTATTGGGAAGGACACGGTTGCCATTTCTGAAGTGCAGAAGGATACTAGAAGAGAAGGCATTTTGGGGAGGGGCAGGAATCAGAAGTTAGCTCTGGACATGAGGTAAGCTTGGGATATTTCTTTGCTATCTAAGACAGCTCCTGCACACGGCTTATGCCAGTGGATGTCGGCTGAGATGGGCCTGGCACTGCACACGCACGGGAGCATGGGGGTGCCTGGGTGTGGGGGGCTGGGTGGTCTTACACTCAGGTGATTTAGCAAAGCCAGTGTGCATGCTGCAGATTCTAGCCCCACCACGGCCACTGGCAAGCTAGGAGGGTGCTGAAAGGAGAGGGACCCCGATGTTTCCCCCCACCCATACATCTCTTCTCTCCCATTGGCCAAACCCAACCGGAAACCAAAGGCCAAGGGTACCCAGATGATGAAGACTGTAGGTGTCAGCCTCCTAAGCACAGAGAGGGCAGAGAGGGGTGGGGACTAAGAGGGGCGCAGATAGTGGGCCAATGGAGAAGTGGCATTTCCCCCAGCTCGGGGGCAGAGGCTTGGTGTGATGGAGTGGCACTCCTCAGACCGCTACATATTTTCCCTTTCATTTGGCCAGGGCGGGTGGTCAAGTTTGTGTAAGATAACGGTGCACGGGTTCATTCTTCTCGAATGGCGCCTGCACCCGTGGGTATTTCTTCCACTTCCACAGTCACCCCGACACTAGCTGGGAGGCACCAGCAGCCCTGGTCCTGGCCCCAGCTCTGTGGGCGCTGGCTCTCAGCTGTGCCTGCCCTGTGGTTTTGTGCCTGTCCCGTTGGTCCTGTTTGGGTGCAAGTCCCCCTCATGCATTGGATTCCTGGGCACTCAGGGTGCGCCTGTGTCTCCCCAGGGAGCATGAAAGTCCTGCAGGAGCCCACCTGCGTCTCCGACTACATCAGCCTCTCTACCTGCGAGTGGAAGATGGGCGGTCCCACCAATTGCAGCGCAGAGCTCCTCCTGTTCTACCAGCTCGTTTTTCTGATTTCCGAGTAAGCCTGCACTGGAGCTGGAGGCTTGGGGAGGCTCTGCCCAAAGAGTTCGCCCCAAGAGTGAGCCAGGTCCAGGTGGTGTGGTGGAGGGCAGCGTGCCGAGTATGGTTTGCTACCTTGTTTTGGGTATGGTGTTGGGAGGGGGTACCCTCTCCGGGGACATGTGTAAGACACAGGGAGCACGTGGCGGGAGCGTTGATCCATGTGGCACATGGATATGGCTGGCATATTGGACTAGAACAGCAGTTCTCACACTTTTTGGACCCAGGACTCTTTCACACTTAAAAACAAGTGAGGACCCAAAGGGCTTTGGCCTAGATAATGTATTGTTCTATATTCACTTAATTAGAACTTAAAATGGAGACATTTTGTAAATTTTTTTTTTTTTTTTTTGAGACGGTGCCCTGCTCTGTCGCCCAGGCTGGAGTGCAGTGGCATAATCTCAGTTCACTGCAACTTCCGACTCCCTAGTTTAAGCGTTTCTAGCCTCAGTGACCTGAGTAGCTGGAATTACAGGCGACCACAACGACCAGCTAATTTTTTTGTTTTTTTGTTTAGTAGAGACAGGGTTTCTCCATGTTGGCCAAGCTGGTCTCAAATTCCTGACCTCAGGTGATCTGCCCGCCTCGGTCTCCCAAAGTGCTGGGATTACAGGCATGAGCCACCAAGTCCAGCCGAAATTTTGTAATTTTTTAAAAAATTAAAACAATTTAAATTTTTTAATATAGAGAGATGAGGTCTCACTGTGTTGCCCCGGCTGGTCTCAAACTCCTGGGCTCAAGTGATCCTCCTGCCTCAGCCTCCCAAAGTGCTGGGATTACCGGCATGAGCCACTGCGTCTGGCTATTATTATTTTGAGACACAGTTTCACTCTTGTTGCCCTGGGTGGAGTGCAATGGCACAATCTTGGCTCACTGCAACCTCCACCTCCCGGGTTCAACTGATTCTCCTGTCTCAGCCTCCCTAGTAGCTGGGATTACTGGTGCCCGCCACCATGCCCAGCTGATTTTTTGTATTTTTAGTAGAGACCAGTTTTCACCATGTTGGTTAATCTGGTCTCGAACTCTTGACCTCAGGTCATCTGCCTGCCTCGGCCTCGCAAACCCCAAAGGGCTGGGATGACAGGTGTGAGCCACGGCACCTGGCCTCCTCCTTTATATTAAGTGAAATAATTCAGAAATGGAAACTCAAATACTGCATGTTCTCATTTACAAGTAAGAGTTAAATAATGTGTACACATGGACATCATTCCATGTACGATGGAATAGTAGACATTGGAGACTGGGAGGGTGGGAGAGGTTGAGGGAGAGAAACGACTTCATGGGTGCAGTGTATACCATTCGGGTGATCGACCCACTGAAACCCCAGACTTCACCACTATGCAGCACATCCATTGAGAACAGATCTGCAGGTTGCCATCAAAATCATACTTGCAAGACCAGGCACTGAGGTGGCTCAAGCCTGTAATCCCAGCACTTTGGGAGGCCGAGGTGGGCAGATCACCTGAGGTCAGGGGTTCGAGACCAGCCTGGCCAACATGGTGAAACCCTGTCTCTACTAAAAATACAAAAATTAATTGGGTGTGGTGGTGGGCGCCTGTAATTGCCGCTACTAGGGAGGCTGAGGCAGGAGAATCGGTTGAGCCTCGGAGGCGGAGGTTGTAGTGAGCTGAGATCATGCCACTGCACTCCAGCCTGGGTGACAGGACGAGACTCCGTCTCATTTAAAAAAAAAAATGCGCTTGTATCCCCTAAATTTATACAAATAACCAAATAAATAAATAAATAAATAAATTGTATGGCCGTTGAAGTCCAAAATATTGACTTAAATAAATAAATCGTATGGCCGTTGAAGTCCAAAATATTGACTATCTGGCCTGTTACAGAAAACGTTTGTAGATCCGTGGCGGTTAAGGTGGAACAGTGGAATTATCCTATGGTGGCCATGGCACACTGCCGTCTACTGCACACTGGCGTCAACTGTGCCATGCAGAGTTTATGTTCTTCTAAATTAATTAGTGCTGCCCATTCTTCCTTTCATGGGCTTTCAGGGACAAGCTAAGTCCCACGACCAGGGCCAGCAGCTAGGGGGGCTGGCGTGAGAGGCATCCATGGTGTATGTCGCAGGAAACTGAGGCCAGCAAGAGAGGCAACCCTGGTCGGTGTCCCCAGCACACGCTGGCTGCTCCCAAGTCCCCAGATCTGTCTTCCATCAGTGATCGGGAAGCGGGTAGAGTATGATGCGGTTCCTTGAGGCACATCCGGGGCACAGCCAGCCTCCAGGTGACCAGCCTAACCTGGCCCCTGTGTCTGCAGAGCCTACACGTGTGTCCCTGAGAACAACGGAGGCACGGAGTGCGTGTGCCACCTGTTCATGGAGAACATGGTCAGAGCGGACAACTATACGCTGGACCTGTGGGCTGGGCCGCAGCTGCTGTGGAAAGGCTCCTTCAAGCCCAGCGAGCACGGTGAGGGGCGGGGTGCAGCCAGGTGGGCGGGAGGGTTTCCACAGCAGGCTGGGCTGGGGGTGGGGTGGGCAGGGGGAGGTGGGGTCAAAACAGCAGCCGGAGGAAGCTGCCTGTATTTTCCCGAATCTGATGGGATTCTTGCCCCTGCCTGCGCCTCAGTCCTCCCATCTTTGAAATGGAGATGGACACAGTAGACCACCAGGCCCCCTTCAGCTCAGCCGTGTCCGCCTCTGAACTTCAGTGCCCAGGAAGGCGTATGGCGATGAGGCGTGCTTGCTGGAAGGCATGCCTGCTGCAGATTGAAAAATAAACCCGGGGCCGGGTGCGGTGGCTCACGCCTGTAATCCCAGCACTTTGGGAGGCCGAGGCGGGCAGATCCCCTGAGGTCAGGAGTTTGAGACCAGCCTGGCCAACAGGGCAAAACCCCATGTCTGCTAAAAATACAAAAAAATTAGCCGGGTGTGGTGGTACATGCCTGTAATTCCAGCTACTCGGGAGGCTGAGGCAGGAGAATCCCTTGAACCTAGGCCAGGTGGCGGAGGTTGCAGTGAGCCAAGATCATGCCATTGCACTCCAGAATGGGCAACAAAGTGAGACTCCCTCTCAAAGAGAGAGAGAGAGAGAGACAGAGAGAGAGACGACAGAGAGAGATAGATGAAGGAAGGAAGGAAGGAGGGAAAGAAGGAAGGAAGGAAGGAAGATGGGCAGGAGAAAGAAGGAAAGGGAAGAAAGAGAAAGGGAGGGAGGGAGAAAGAAGGAAAAAAGGAAATGAGGAAAGAAGGAAAGAAAAAGAAAAGAGAGAAAGAGAAAGAAAGAAAGAGAAAGAAAGAAAAGAGAAAGAAAGAGAAAGAAGGAAAGAAAAAGAGAGAAAAGAAAAGAAAGGGAGGGAGGGAGAAAGGAAAAACGGAAAAGAGGAAAGGAGGAAAGAAGGAGAGAAAAGAAAGAAAGAGAAGGAAGGAAGAACTGGGAACAGTTCTTCCATCCTGTGTCCACTGGTCAGCAGCTGCTGCTTCAAACGGTCTTGACCACGGAAGGCTGAGCTTGTCCTGGTACCTGGAGTCCCTGCAGGAATTCCCCTGTGAGCTTGCTGGGGTTTGGAGACAGGAGTTTAAAACATCGCTCATTGCCATGTGACCTTGGGCAAGCCATGTTTCCTCTCGGAGCCGGTTTCCAGAGAGAGTTATTACCCCCACTTTGCAGTCGAATGAACTGTAGTTCCGAGAAGGCAAGTAAGCAGCCTCAGGTCACACAGCTCCTCAGCAGCAGAGGCAGTGCTCAAGGCCAGGGCCCTGGAGGGCTCAGGTTCACCGCTCCATCGGGTGTTCGTAAAGGTCCGCTCAGGGCTGGTGGCTGGGGGGTTATTTAAACTGACCCATGAGTGAACTTTAAGATAATTTTTACATTTTAACATTATTTTTATTTTAGCGTGTTTATTTTTTATTTTTTTGAGACCGTCTTGCACTGTCACCCAGGCTGGAGTGCGGTGGCGCCATCTCAGCTCACTGCAACCTCTGCCTCCTGGGTTCAAGCCATTCTCCTGCCTCAGCCTTCCGAGTAGCTGGGATTACAGGCACCCACCACCACACCAGCTAATGTTGTGACGGGGTTTCACCATGTTGACCAGGCTGGTCTCGAACTCCTCACTTCGTGATTCTCCCACCTTGGCCTCCCAAAGTGCTGGATTACAGGCGTGGAGCCACCACGCCCAGCCTGTGTTTATTATTTTTTGAGAGACAGGGTCTCTGTCGCTGAGGCTGGAGTGCAATGATGTGATCACAGCTCACTGCAGCTTCTAATTCCTGGGCTCAAGTGATCCTCCCACCTCAGCCTCCCGAGTACCTAGAACTAAAGGTGTGTATCACCATACCTGGCTAACTCAAACCAAATTGTTTTGTGTGGAAATGAGAGTCACACTCTATTGCTCAGGCTGGTCACAAACTCCTGGTCTCAAGTGATCCTCCTGCCTTGGCCTCCTAAAGTGCTGGGGTTATAGAAATGAGTCTACATGCCCAGACTACATTTGGGTTTTAATATAAATGAAATCTATTGTAGTAGATTGATTTTAATGCATATTATAACATGCATGACAGGAATAGAAACCTGAGGTCTCATGGATATAACTGCCTCAGTGGAGACCAAGTTTTAAAACAGATGAATCAAAATAAAGACAAATATTCTTTATTTTTCTGTAAATAATCGTACAGTACAGAGATATGTTCAAAGGCGTGAAGGATGCAACCGTAAAAGCTGAACTTTGAGGCCGGGCACGGTGGCTTATGCCTGGAATCCCAGCACTTTGGGAGCCCAAGGCGGGAGGATCACCTGAGGTTAGGAGTTCGAGACCAGCCTGACCAACACAGTGAAACCCCGTCTCTACTAAAAATACAAAAAATTAGTCTGGCCTGGTCGTGGGTGCCTGTAATCCCAGCTACTTAAGAAGCTGAGACAGGAGAATCGTTTGAACCCAGGAGGCAGAGGTTGTAGTGAGCCGAGATCATGCCACTGTACTTCAGCCTGGGCGACCGAGTGAGACTCTGTCTCCAAAAAAACTAAGACATAAGAAATAAAGGGTAATTAGTAAACACTAATGTGCTAAGTAGAATTTTAGCAACATTATCGTCTTCTGTTGTGGCTCTGTTGTGTGGTGCTCAGAAGTGTGCTACAGAGGTGTTGTCAACCAAAAGTCGGGGTGGTGGCTGTGGTTTGCTGGCTGGGGCTGGGCCGGGTGACAGGGAAGTCACTGCACAGATCCTTAGATAGATGCTGCTTCTCCCGCAGTGAAACCCAAGGCTCCAGAAAACCTCACGGTGTATACCAATGTCTCCGAGACTCTGCTGCTGACTTGGAGTAACCCCTATCCCCCTGATAATTACCTGTATGAGAAGCTCACCTATGCAGTCAACATTTGGAATGAAAACGACCCGGCAGATGTGAGTGGGCACACTTTGCCGTTTCTCTGTGACCTCTGGGGAATGGGGTGGGTGACCGGCAGAGACCCAATCTCTGGAGCCGGGAGCCTGGGAGGCAAGCCCTGGGGCTGGATAGCAAATCCCAGGAACTAGAGACCTGGCTTCTCCCCCGAGTCTGCCCAAGGCAAGTCTCATCACTTCCTGGTCCCCCCGCCCCCAGCGTGCAGAGAAGGGGAGTGATTTCTGCAGCTGCCGCTCATCTGTAAAGGTAGGGCTGTGGGCCGCGTCTGTTTCCCAGTTTGGGGGACGCAAGCGGTCATAGGTGGCACATTGACAGCTGACTTGAATAGCCCTGGTCCCAACGTGAGAGAGTGACCCATGTCAGTTCCCTTTTGAGGCCAGCCCGTTAAGGAGGAAGTCTCCATGGAGCTGTATCGTATTCTAATTCCTCTTAATGAAGAGAGTGGAGGCCGCCCCACAGGCTTCGAACTTGCCCGAGAAAGCAAGGTCAGTGTGTTGCTTGGCTCCCATGGCAGTCGGGCCTGACATTCCCTTCACAGTAGTGGAGTTTTTGGTGGTGGTGTTTGTTCTGAGATGGAGTCTCACTCTGTCACCCAGGCTGGAACACAGTGGTGTGACCTCAGCCCACTGTAACCTCTGCCTCCTGGGTTCAAGCAATTCTCCTGCCTCAGCCTCCTGAGTAGCCGAGACTACAGGCACCCGCCACCATGCCAGGATAATTTTTCTATTTTTAGCAGAGATGGGGTTTCACTGTGTTGGCCAGGCTGATCTCAAACTCCTGACCTCAGGTGATCCACTTGCCTTGGCCTCCCAGAGTGCTGGGATTACAGGTGTGAGCCACTGTTCCCGGCCAGTGGAGTTCCTTCTTAAATACATGTGTTGACATCTTTAAAAAGGAAGAGAGGATGTACAGGAAACTGTCAGTTCAGGAATAGCAGGGGCCATCCACAGTGGGTGGTTGAGCCCCCCTATTTTTGCTGCTGGTGTGTGGGGAGGTCATTTCCTGCCACCCGTGATTCCCCGCTGAATCCACCTTCCTCACGTTCCCATTGGAGGGACAGTCTCTGGACACATGGGGTCTGGGGTCCCATAGGGCTGCCTCCCAATGCCTGCTCTCCTATTCGCCAGATGTGTGATTTGGGTCATGATCCCTTTGTGCCTCAGTTTCCCCATCTGTAACAGGGATGACAAGAGCATTCGCCCACAGGGCTATGAGCGTACAAGGTGTGTGATACAGATGAGCTCCCCTGTTTGGCACACGTGTATCCTAAATGCGATGTACCGTTTCTCCCGAGTGCCCCAGGCCACAGAGTTCCCCATCTGCCTGCTGTCCCACACATGGGTCTATCATTTGCTCCTTGAGGTTTGTGAAGGCCTGCTCACTGCATCCCAGAGGCCTAGGCTGGCCATGAGGGAACAGGCACCCGCCACCGTAAGCTCCCACGCTGGCATCTGTCGCTGCTTCCTCTCGTTCAGACCAAGCCAGGGGTGGGTGTTGATTTATATCGCTCAGGTCTGGTTTCCCCTTTGGCATTGGGCCAGGTGTGGGGAAGGAGCAGGAATGGGGCAGTTGGCTCACAGAGGCTCAGAAAGCCGGAGGGATGAAGGAGAGGTGTGCACAGGTGCTAGACAATGGAACAAGTTTTGTTTGGTCATGAAATCTCTTTCCCATGCCCCAGGCCTGTACAAGACCTACTGAGAGTCCCAGGGATGAGCTGGAGGGAGGAGAAGGTACCACCTATAGAGTCCAAAGAAATGTTATTTAATATTTGCAGATTTCTAGATCTCCCTTCAGGCGTGGCTGTATCCAGCTTCTAGGAACCTGTCCAGTTCTGGGCCCTGCTTTATTCTGTACTGGCTCTAGGCAGGCTCTTCTGTGGTGTAGTGGCAAATATGCCCACTAGTTGTTCCAGGCCTACATCCCAAAGCCATAATGGAAAAAGGGTTTTTTTTCTTGCTGGTTCTAGCAGGAGTAGTGGGGCTGCTGCTCAGTGGCCTGGCGTGGATCCCATGCCAGCCTCTAAACCAATCACTGCTGTGGGTGCAGTGGAGGACCCTGATTGTCTAGGGATTAGTCACATACCTGCCACTAGGGCTGCAGGTGGGCTCAGCGCCACCCATACCAGACGAACTGAAAATAAGGTAGGAGTGGCTTCCCCAGGGGAAACTGGGCAAAAGGAAGCATGACTGCACTGGCTAAAATGCCAGCGGGTTTAAGACCTGGCACCAGATGCCAGTCATGGTATTGGCTTGGTCGGCATGCCTGGGTTATGGCTTACAGGCATGTTGGTGCTTAGGGATGCCTCCGGATGGCAGGTCTGAGGCAGAAGGATGAAGCCCAGCTTCTCTTGTGTGTGGGACAGTGGCTACTGAGATGCCCCATCTCTCCCTTCCCAAGGACAGAGCTGAACATAAAGAATTTAGTCATTGGCCAGAGCTGGCCTCTGATCCCTGACAGGCCAGGAGATGGGGTTGGCACAATTGGCTTAGACCAAGGAGTGTTAGCCCTGGAGTTGCAGGCAGTGGAGTTCTGTCCGAATCAGGGGACACCTAAACCTGATGGCATAGAAGCTGGGAGATGGGGGGTGTTCACCTGTGTCTGCCCCAGCACTGCAGACACCAGCTGTGTGCCTTCCTGTGTGCTCTTTGCAAAGCCATCAAGGCAGAGAGACTTGCCTAGCAAGTGGGATAAATTCCAGAAAGACACATGAGGAACTCGCTATAGAATTTTTGGGGCCAGAGCTAGTCATTCATTTCTAGCCAAGGTTCCACAGTGGAGGTGGAGTTTTGGCTTGGGCATTGAAGGATGCGTAGGAGTTTTCTAGACAGGAAAAGGAGGGAGGGGTAGACAGGCAAAGGGAACTGCACGAGGAATGGTTTATAGGTCTGAAAATTCATGGGATGTTTGGGGACTGCGGGGATGTGGATGTGGGAATGTGTGCAGTGAAAAAGCACAAAACAAGACAAAAGTTCCATTTGAGCCCTGAATGCCTTCCTCATAGTAATGGTTTCCATATTTTATATGCCTGCTATGTGCCAGGCACATTGCCCAGGGCCACACAGCTGGAAATGGCAGGGCTGAGGTTTGTTTTGTTTTGTTTTGAGACAGAGTCTCACTCTGTCACCCAGGCTGGAGTGCAGTGGCGTGATCATGGCTTACTGCATCCTCAACTTCCTGGGCTTAGGTGATTCTCCCACTTCTGCCTCCCAGGTAGCTGAGACTACAGGCACAGGCCACCACGCCAGGCTAATTTTTTTTTGTATTTTTGGTAGCAACAGGGCCTCGCCATGTTGCCCAGGCTGGTCTGGATCCCCTGGCTTCAACTGATCCTCCGGCCTCAGCCTCCCAAGGTGCTGGGATTACAGGCGTGACCCACCACGTCTGGCCCAGATCTGAGATTTGCTCCCAGAATTTGAACGCCCAAGCCTGTGCTCTTTTTCCTCCCATGGACATTTCTTTCAGAAATGGTCTCCTGAACACCTGGCCTTCATGTTAAGAAAACAAACCACAAGTAGTTCCTTGGAAGCTCAGATTTCTGTTTTGTTTCTTAGTAAAACATTTCCCAGTTCCCAGCTCCCTTCGGGGGTGTAAGATTTCTTCTGTAACTTACATCTAGCTCTTGCTTCTTATTTACCCATGTTTAGAAAGAAAGATGAAAGGGAGTAAAAGTGTTCTCTCCCTTCCCCAATCTCCCCCCAGCTCACACCCCGCCCTCAGCTCCTCTGTAACAGGGAACCCTCTGAACTCTCTGTGGTGGTCGTAGCAATCTATTGGGACTTTGCTTCTTTCTTGTGAAAAACCTCCCCTTGACTCACTTTGCACCAGATTTCCCCAAATGTGGCTTCAACCACAAGCAGAAATGGAGCTGCCAGGAACTGGGAAGAAACAACAGGAGGAGAAGGAGGGGAAGGTGCACAGCACTGGATCTCACAGGGAGAGAAGTGACAGGGTGAAGACTCGGGTTGCTTACTTGCCATTACAGTCGATCATGAATACAGCGCTCGTTTCATTTCTCACGTTTTAAAGCTTTTTTTGGAGGGTAAAAGTAATAGTTACGCAAAGTAAAAATACAAATGGTACAAAAGGACTTAGAACTGAAATACGCTTCTCTTCTGACTGCAGCCTACTGTTTTTCTTCCCAGAGACTGACCACTGCTACCAGTCTCTTGCCAGGAGGGAGAGGGAGGCAAGAGGGCATGTGCTTCATTTAGTGAGAGCTTATGTCTATACAAGCAAATGCGTGTGTTCATTCTTCGCTGTCTTAGTTTTCTATTGCTGTGTAATAACAGTACCGCCAACTTCACAGCTTTGAACAACACCCGTTTATTATCTCGAAGTTTCTGTGGGTCAGGAGTCTGGGCATAGCTCAGCCAGGTTCTCTGCTTTAGGGTCTTATGAGGCTATAATCGAGGTGTGGGCTGCGGCTGCAGTTTCATCTGAATCTGAGGCTCAACTGGGGAAGGGTCACTTCCGAGCTCATATGATATTGGTGGCCTTCAGTTCCTGGCAGGCTGTTGAACTGACAGCCTCAGTTTCATGCTGGCTGTTGGTTGTAGCTAACCCTGAATTCCTTCCTGTGAGCCCTTTGCAGAGCCATTGAGGCAGAGAGACTTGCCTAGCAAGTAGGATATTACAGTCTTCTGTAATATGATCATATCCATGAAATCCCATATATATACCATCACCTTCGCCATATTCTACTGGTTAGAAACAAGCAACAGGTCCTGCCCACACTCAAGAAGACCAGATGACAAAAAGACGTGATTCAAAGTAGAGAATCATGGGGCCATCTTAGGTTTGTCTGCAATGATCACTGTGCCATCTCTTTTTTTTTTTTTTTTTTTTTTCTGAGACAAAGTGTCACTCTGTTACCCAGGCTGGAGTGCAGTGGTGTGATCTTGGGTCACTGCAATCTCTGCCTCCTAGTTTCAAGCGATTCTTGTGCCTCAGCCTCCCAAGTAGCTGGAATTACAGGTGCTCACCACCATGCCTGGCTAATTCTTGTATTGTTTGTAGAGACAGGTTTTCACCATGTTGGTCAGGCTGGTCTCAAACTCCTGACCTCAAGTGATCCACCTACCTTGGCCTCCCAAAGTGCTGGGATTACAGACATGAGCCACCATACCTGGCCCTGTCTCTCTTTAAATAAATAAGTAAATAGAAACAGAGAACAAATACTCATCTGCATCTTACCTTGTTTACTTAACAATAGATCTTGGAGGTCACTTCTCAGTGAAGGCTAGATTGGGCTGAGCATTAGATTCTAGGCCAATGAGTTTGGACTTGACCATGGAGACACTAGGGAGCCCATGAAGGATAGAGAGAGATGCCTTCACCCTGCCAGTGCTTCGGAAAGATCACCCTGAGCTTTTTGTATATTAAACCCTATTCAAAATACTTACCTATATCAACGCATGTCCTTATCACTGCAACCCTGGGGGGAGGGAGGTAGGCACTTTTATTACCCTCATTTTGCAGATGAGAACATTGAGGTCCAGAGAGGTTATGTCACTTACTTAGGGTCACACAGCCAGGAAGTGGTGGTAGGGACTCTTACCCTTGTTTTACAGATGAGATTGAATTATCTCACAAAAACTTAGACAGGTTAAACAGCTTGTATAAGTAACATAATATGACGAATTAGTCCAGGAGCCTGACCCATGTTGCTCAAGCCTGGTCACAGTTACGGAGGTGGCAAGCAATGGCCTAAACAGGACGAACAGCCAAATACCCTGGCTGATGGCTCTTAAACATGGTGGGGTCAGCTAAGGACAGCAACCAGGGTGGAAACTGGTCCCCCTCACCCCCAGCCAGGGCACTAATGTCTCTCTTTTCTCTATCAGTCCAGAATCTATGACGTGACCTACCAAGAACCCACCCTCCGCATCGCAGCCAGCACCCTTAAATCTGGGGTTTCCTACAGGGCACGGGTGAGGGCCTGGGCTCAGAGCTATAACAGCACCTGGAGTGAGTGGAGCCCCAGCACCAAGTGGCATAACGGTGAGTATCAAGAGGCCTAACCAATGCTAATCCCCACTCTCCATTCTTTCCCTGTGGCCAGACACTTCCTCTGGCTGAATCTCTGGGTTTTCATATCATAGGATGCCTCCACTGGCAAATAATGAAATTACCACCTGCCATGGTGTATTGGTCAGCTAGGCTGCAGTAACAAAGAAGCCCACGATTTCCATGGCTTAACACTATAGGAATATATTTCTTGCTCATGTAACAAGCTAATGTGAATGTTGCTGGCTTGTGGGTGGTTTTCTTCCCTGTAAATTTGAGGAGTGAGGTTCTGTCCATCTTGTGGTGCCATCATTCTCCAGGACAAAGATTCTTAATTGTTTTTGTGTCCTTGTTCCCTTTGGCAGCCTGGTGAAGCCTACGGACCCCGTCTCAGAATATTTTTAAATACATAAAATCCCAGCCTGGGTAACACAGTGAGACCCCTATCTGTACAAAAAATTAGCCAGGCATGGTGGCATGCACCTGTGGTCCCAGGTACTTGGAAGGCTGAGGTGGGAGGATGGCTTGAGACCAGGAGTTTGAGGCTGCAGTGACCCATGATTGTACCACTGTACCCCCACCTGGGTGACAGAGCAAGAGCCTGTCTCTAAAAATAAATAAATGCAATGAAATAAAACAAATGACAAAGGAAACGTATTGAAATGCATTTGTAAAATATTTTAAACACATTTTTAATCTGGGGATATATGTGCTTCTTTATTAAGATATATAAAAAGTTCTAGATCTCATAAATACTGTAATTTCAAAGTAGATAACCATAAATAATACTTTATGATACTGAAACTGTGATGTGATATGAGAATCGCTGTGAGTTTTGCTGGGGACAGGATCACTGGTACTGTCATTACTGGGGCCTCCTCCCTCCATTGTTTTTTAAAATTTTTATTTTAATTTTATTTTTAAAATGTTAAAATAAATAGAGACAGGGTCTCACTATGTTGCCCAGGCTGTTCTTGAACTCCTGGGCTCCAGTGATCCTCCCACCTTGGCCTCCCAATGTGCTGGGATTACAGGTAGGAGCCAGTGTTCCTGGCCCTGCTCTCCATTCTTAATGGAAGCAAATGCTGAGTGTCAGAGGTTAGCGAAAATAAAGATGTAATTTCCAAGTAAAAAAAATGATAAACATAAGTGAAAAAAATGGAATAAGTGATGAAAAAACTAAGCCAAAAGATGAAGAATTCAGTAATAGAAAACAAAAGAATTAAGAAAAAAAGGGGGTTTAAAAAAGAAAAAAGAAAAAGAGAAATGATTTTTAAAAAATGATGTAATTTCCCTTCCAAGTTCTTAGACCCCTGAATTCTATCTGCAGCCATGTTGGTCTATAGATCCCAAGGGGACAATCCCTGCTATGCCCCTCCCCCCATTGCCTGCGTCCAGCCAGCAGAAGAGGTGTGATGGTGTGGAGACCGCACCTGCTTCCTGAAAGCAGGAAGCCTGGAAGTGGCCTGCATCACTTCCTCTCAAATTCTATTGGTGAAAATGGTCACATGACTACACATGGCTGCAAAGAAGCCTGGGAATTTCCTCACTTGTAATCTACATTCCAGAAACAACCCTTTTCAGTGCTGTATCCCACAGGTCTTTTGCAGTAGAAATATTGATTATCTCATGTAAAATGAAGTCTTACAAATGGACCTACTGGGGTTTGTACAGCAGCCAAGTGATACCTCTCCCCTGTCTTCCCTTCTGCCATCTTTCACATGGTTTCATTTTATCCTTAGACTTGCCACCCATGGCCTCAGGTTGGCCGTTGCCCACTCCCTCACATAAAGCAGGAAGGAAGCAAAAGCCTGCCACCAGAGAATGTACCTTGTGCATGTCTCCTTTTTATCAGGAAGCAAACATCTTTCTAGAAGCTTCCCTAGCAAAATTCCCCTTACTTCTCATTGGCCAGGACTGTTACATGGTCTGTTCTCATTGCAAGGAAGACTGGGAGCTCAATGCCTGGAAAGGGAAACAGGATAATCGTGATTGGCCCAAGCCTCAGGGTGGGCATGGCCCCCTGGCAGGGGAACGAGGAAAAAGATGTGGGATAAAGAAGACTGCTTCAATTTCCCCAGCTGTTTAATGGGAGGAGTAAGAGCTGTTGTGAAAACTCAATGAAAGAAGATTCTTCAAGATGGTGGGTGCAGTGGCAGCTGGCAGTACCCAGACCCAGCCACCACACAGCCCTCTCAGCATTGCTCATCCTGCACTGTGGATATCAGTTGAGCCACATGTCTCCTGCCCTGGACTTGAGGTCCGCAGGCAGTGTCTACTCCATGTCTGTATCTCCAGGGCCTATCCCTGGGATAATTTTGTTGAATTGATTCTCATCTGCCATTGTGCTAGGGAAGGGAAATAGCTTGTATAGAACAGATACGATGTGTGGGACCCTCGTTAATTATTTCAGCAAACAGTTACTGAGTTCCTCCTACATGGCTAGTGCTGTACGAGACACTGGGGAATCAGCGGTAAACAAAGCAGATAGTGATCCCCACTCTCGTGGAGCTGTCATTCTGGAGGGGAGAAACAAAAGGAAAGAGAAAAGAGAGAGAGAGAGAGAAAGAAAGAAAAAGAAAGAAAGAAGGAAAGAAAAAGAAAGAAAGAAGGAAAGAAAAAGAAAGAAAGAAGAGAGAAAGAAAGAAAGCAAGCAAAGAAAGCAAGAAAGAAAGAAAGAAAGAGAGAAATCACACGTATCCAGATGACAGTGAGAGCTGGGAAGAAAATAAAAGCAGAGGAAAGGGATGGAGCAATGGGAGGGGCAGTGGTAGGGAGGGTGGTGGGGAAGACTTTTTGGAGAACGTGACAATGAAAGTGAACAAGGAGGAGGAGCCGACCGCGCTGAGATGATGGCAGCAAACGGTATGGACAGACCACTCTGTTCTGAGTGCATTATCTATTGATTAGATCATGTAATCCTTGCAACAGGCCTGCAAGATAAGTTCTGTCATTAACCCCATTGTACGGATGTGTAGACTGAGGCACAGAGAAAGTAAGGGACTTGTCCTGCATCACACAGCAAGGGCAGAGTGAGGCTTCGAGTCCAGGGCGACCAGCTCCTAAGTTGGTACATTTGACTTCTGTGCTTCCGGAAAGAAAGAGCAGCAAGTTCAAGATCTGGAGGTGGTACTGAGCGTTGGAGGCACAGAGGACAACAAGACTGCTGGTGTGACAGGGACTCAGTGTGCAAGAGGGAGAGTGGGAGGAGATGGGGTGGAGGGGTGGTCAGCAGCCAGATCGTGAAGGGTCTCGGTGGAGGGTCCTGACCCTGTGTCTCCAGTCCTGGGAAGTAGAGCCCAGGCTGTACCATGGCAGACCCCTGCTCATGGCTTCCCCTCCCACTTCCAGCCTACAGGGAGCCATTGGAGAAGCACCTGCTGCTGGGCGTCAGTGTCTCCTGTGTTGTCATCCTGGCCATCTGCCTGTTGTGCTATGTCAGCATCATCAAGTGAGTCCTGGGTTCAATGCCACCAAGCAGTCCCTCTGGAGTGCAGGGTGGCAGGGACTTGCCCCTCTGATCTGCCCCTTTGTAATCCTCTCATTCAATAATACATATTTATTGAGCAGCTACTATGCACCTTGAGAGTAAAGCTGAGACCAAGATTGACAAGGACCCCACATTTCTAAAACTGACATCCTAGTGGGGAGACAGAAAATACATATCAACCAACAGATGTTTTTTTTTACCAACAGATGCTTTTCCATAGTGACCCATGCTCTGAATGCACTAGACCAGGGTGGAGGCCAGAGATCTTCCGGTGTGCTCTTTGCAAGGGGGACCAGGATAAGACTCTCCAAGGAGGGAAAATCTGACAGGGACCCTGACTGGGGAGAATGAGCTGGCCAGGGACAAGCAAGATGGAGTCATCCCATGTCCTCTAGACCCCGGGTGCCTGGGCTCTAGACCAGGCAACTGGGGACATGCGGTAGGAGCCAGAGGAATTTGTGACGATTGCCCTGATGGAGTCAGGAGACCTGGGTTTGAATCCTGGCCTTGAGGCTTGGTAGCTGGTGGCTGACCAGTTGCTGAAACCCCTTAGCCCAGGGTTCCTGCTTTGCAGATTGAGAGTGATGGTGAAAACGTATTTCATCAGCCAGAAGAGGCTGAATCACAGTAAAGGCTGAGGAAGGAGACAAGTGGTGAGTGTCTGAGAGGTGGTAGAAGGAGCCTTGTTTCCAGAGAGCTCTTGCCAGCCCTTGGAATCATGGTGTCTCAGAGCCTCAGTTCTTCCATCTCTGAAATGGGACTAGCAAGCTTGACCTCGCCATGTCAGAATTAGAGGTGACTGGGGAATATTAACATGACTGATGACAGTGCCCGCTCTTGGCCTGGCACACACGAGGTCGGCAGGGAATGCAAGTTCCCCCTCTGTATTTTGTCACTGATGCCTCCAAGTAACCCTAGGCTCATCTCCTTGCTCTGAGCCTCAGTTTCCCCATCACCTATACCTCTTCCCACTCCTCATCACCATGTCCCAGCATGTGAGCCTCTTTCCTCTTTGCTATTCTTTGTGTTTGGTTTCTTGTTTTGTTCTGTTTTTTTTTGTTTGTTTTTTTTAGACAGGGTTACCCAGGCTGGAGCGCAGCGGCACGGTTACGGCTCACTCAGTCTCCAATTCCTGGGCTCAAGTGATCCTCCCATTTCAACTTCCCGAGTAGCTGAGACAGCAGGCACGTGCCACCATGTCTGGCTAATTTTCTTATGTTTTATGTTTTTTTTTGAGATGGAGTCTTGCACTGTCACTCAGTGAGCCGATCTCGGCTCACTGCAATCTCTGACTCCCATGTTCAAGTGATTCTCCTGAGTAGCTGGGATTACAGGCGTTTGCCACCACACCCAGCTAATCTTCATATTTTTAGTAGAGACAGGGTTTTACCATGTTGGTCAGGCTGGTCTTAAACTCCTGACCTTAAGTGATCCACCTGCCTCGGCCTTCTAAAGTGCTGGGATTACAGGCATGAGTCACTGCGCCCAGCCAGTTTTCTTATGTTTTGTAGACAGGCTGTCACTTATGTAGCCCAGGCCGATCTTGAACTTCTCCCCCTTTATCTCTATTTATGGCACTTATTGCCATGAATGAATGATGTCATATAAGCATTTTTTTTTTTTTTTGAGATGGAGTCTCACTCTGTCACCAGTCTGGAGTGCAGAGGCATAATCTCGGTTTACTATAATCTCTACCTCCTGGGTTCAAGTGATTCTCCTGCCTCAGCCTCCCAAGTAGCTGGGATTACAGGCACCCACCACCACACCTGGCTAAGTTTTGTATTTTTAGTAGATACAGGGTTTCACCATGTTGGGCAGGCTGGTCTCGAACTTCTAACCTCAGGTGATCCTCCTGTCTTGGCCTCCCAGAGTGCTGAGAGTACAGGCAGAAGCCACCATGCCCAGCCTCATCTAAGCATTTCTGTCTCCATTTGTCATCCATCTGCCCCTCTTGAAGGTCAGTTTCACCAAGGCAGGCATCTTTGTCTTGACCGTTGTGGCCTCGGGGCCTGGCACAGTGAGTCGAACATAGAAGGTGCTCAATAAATCCATGTTGACTGACAACGTGGGCAGAGGCTAATTCAGAAGCCGTCTGAGGACCTTCCCTCCCAGTGATGATGCACCATGGCCCCAGGCAGGTCAGGAAGATAGAAGGTGTGTGTTCTTAGGTCCCCCAGCTTCCCAGGCCATTCCAGGCCACTCCCCGGTCATTTGTCCTCAGCTGCTCTGGAAAAGGGATTCTTGAGGGGAACCTAGAGTCTTCTCTGCAGTTTGAGTCTTTCCTAATCCCCTGGCGTCTCATTCCCACTGAAGACACAGGTGGTCTCATGGGATCCCTGCTCTGGGTAACAGAATGCGGAGTGTGAACCTGGCTCTGTCACCTACCAGCTGTCACGCTTCCTCCTTGCGCCTCACTCTCCTCATCTGTAGAATGGGGTTAACAATAGAATCCGTGTCACCGGGTTAGTGAGGAGTCGGTGGTTTGACCTCTAGAAACTAACCAACCTGGTCTCTGACGCTAAATAAGTGTTGGTGACAACGACCATTTTTATGGGAGGAGCGTTCATCTGTCAGTAATTCAGAGATCAATGCCTTTTCCTTTTGTTTTTCAGGATTAAGAAAGAGTGGTGGGACCAGATTCCCAACCCAGCTCGAAGCCCCCTTGTGGCTATAGTAATCCAGGATCCTCAGGTAGGAGAGGGTGTGGGTGGGCATGTGCGGGACTGCAGGCATGAAGAAGGGTGGTTCCGAACACCTAGGCTGTTAAGGACATTCACTGGCCTCTGGAGTGGCAAAGGGGCAGTCAGGAGGGAAGCAGGGGAGGCTGAGGCAGCAGCTGAATGAGGTCATGAGGAGACCAGGCTTTCCCACCCCTTCCCTTGGCAAAGGGATCTTCTGGGGTTGATCTCCTGTTTCTTTCCCTCCTCTTGAGAGTGACTGTTAGGCTCTGTGTCATTCCCTGTCTAGAGGCCAGAAGGAAAGGAAGGAGAGGGTGACAGGCTTTCTGTGTCTTCCTCTTAAGCATGAGAAAATGCCCCCGAAGCACCAGCAATCCCCCCTGGGTTCTCATCGGCCTGAAGTGTATCCCACCCCTGAGCCAGGGGCAGAGTCAGCTTCCCCAAGGCAATGGTCCTGTGGATGAGTGGGTGGGGTTTACCTGAGCAGGATTAGGGTTCTCTAGGAAGGAGAAAGGTGGGGATACAGGTGCTGTCTAGAAGAGAAGGTCTGAGGGTCCTTGCTTCTCCAGGGACTCTGTAGCAGGCTCTGGAATCCAGTGGTGTTGGCTTTGAATCCTGACTCTGCCACTCACCTGCAGTGTGGACTTGAGCAAGTTGCTTAATTCTCCAAGCCTCAGTTTCCTCTTGTGGGTTATAACAGTGTTTACCTGGTAGGGCAGGTATTGGAATTTATGGAGACAATACATATAAAGTGTGTATTCCAGCCTCTTGCAAATACTAAGTGCCATTTATGTATCGGTTAGTGTTTGCTGTGTAACAAATAACCCCAAAATGTAGAGGGTTACAACAACAACTTTATTTAGCTCCTGCTTCTGCAGGCTGACATTTGGGGCTGGGCTCAGCAATGAGGGTGACAGGGTAGGCTGGGCTGGGCAGATCTGGACTGAGCTGACCTGTCCCCATGGCCTTTCTCTGGGTCTGACAGTTGGCTGACTTTTACCTGGGACAGTGTGGCTGCCTGAGTCATGTGCCTCCCACCTTCCAGCAGGCCGGCCCAGCTTGTTCACAGAGTGGGTCAGTTGTCAAAGCTGGGAAGTCCTAAGGCTTCTTGAGGTCTGGGTGCAGAACTGGCACGATGTCACTTCCATCACATTCTGTGGGCCCAAGCAAGCCCCAGAGGCAGGTTAGATTCAAGGGTTGGGAGGAGATTCAGAGCACTCCTCTGTGGCCACTTTTGCCATCGACCACAGTCCCCGTGAATAGTAGGACAGTGTCATTAATTCCCAGGAAACTGAGGCTCAAAAAGCGTAAGTGACCTGTTGGACTTCCGACCTGTGTGATGTCCAGGCTTGAACCGCATTGCCGCACTCCAGGCCGGGCTGCAAGGCCACTCCGCTGTTTCATTGGCTGCTTCTGTATTTTAGGTGTCACAGTGGGAGAAGCGACCCCGAGGCCAGGAACCAGCCAAGTGCCCGTATGTATCTGAACATAGGTCATAGCCGGCATGCATTGGGAAGGTGATGGAATTGGAGCGGCAGGCCCCCAGCTCCATGTCTGCCTTCTCTTCCCTGGCATTCGGTCATTGTCCCTATGACATTAGGCTTCAAGCAACGGCGGGAGGAGGGGTGTTCTGGAAACCCGCACTGCTGGCCAAGCCCCCTGAGTTTGACTGGCATGTCAGGTACATGGCGAAGCCCCTCGGGAGCGCTGTTACAGTTTACAACCAGGGCAGCAGTGCCAGTTGTTAAAATATTGAATTCATTGTATACTCGTCGGCAAAGACCCACTATCCTGAGCACTCCCTGCTTTTAAAAAATATATACAGGATAGCACTCTGTTCCAGTGGTGCAGTCATAGCTCACTGGAGCTTCAATCTCCTGGGCTCAAGGGATCCTCCCACCTTAGCCTCCCGAGTAGCTGATACTACAGACGTGCATTACCATGCCTGGCTATTTTAAAAGGTTTTTGCCTGTAATCCCAGCTACTCAGGAGGCTGAGGCATGAAAGTCGCTTGAACCCGGGAGGCAGAGGTTGCGCTGAGCGGAAATCACACCACTGCACTCCAGCCTGGGTGACAGAGTAAGACTCTGTTTCAAACAAATAGATAAATAAGTAAAAGAAAGTAAGTTTTTGTAAAGACAGGCTCTCGCTGTATGGCTCAGGCTTATCCTGATACCTTGACTGCGGCACTGCCCTGTCAGCTCCTTCCCCAGGCCTGCAGGACCTCCCCACTCTCCAGAAACTAAAGAGGGTCCAGGGCCCTGCTTCAACCCTAGGACCCACATCTTTTTTCTTTTTTTTGGACACAGGATCTTGCTCTGTCCCTCAGGCTGGAGCGCAGTGGTTCACTGCAGCCTCAGACTCCTGGGCTCAAGTGATTCTCTGGCCTCAGCCTCCTGAGTAGCTGGAACGAAAGTCATACACCAACATGCCCCGCTAATTTTTTTATTTTTTTTTTATTTTTGTAGAGATATTGAGACAGCCTGGGCTCTGTTACCCAGGCTGGTCTACGAACTCCTGAGCTCAGGTGATCCTCCCAAAGTGCTGGGATTACAGGTGTGAGCCACCTCACCTGGCTTCCATAGCCATCCTTCTTGGTCATGGCTTGGTGTTGCTTTTAATTATCATCATCCACAAAGACTTCTTATTCCACAGAACTGAGCTTGTATTTGGTACCAGGCCATGTGCTAGGCTCCAGAAATCCTAAAGACACAGGCCTTACCCTCCAGGATTTCCCATTCTAGCAGTATAAACTGATCAATCATTGATTATAAAGTTAGAAGGCGTGTCTACAGTAGACTGCCATCACGACATGGTGATTTCAGGCTGGGATTTGAAGAATGAATAGGAGTTTTTCAAGTGTCAAAACTGAACCCTGACCAAACTTTGCTTTTGCAGACACTGGAAGACTTGTCTTACCAAGCTCTTGCCCTGTTTTCTGGAGCACAGCATGAAAAGGGATGAGGATCCCCTCAAGGCTGCCAAAGATAGGCCTTTCCAGGGCTCTGGAAAATCAGCATGGCGCCCTGTGGAGATCAGCAAGACAGTCCTCTGGCCAGAGAGCATCAGCGTGGTGCGGTGCGTGGAGTTGTTTGAGGCCCCAGTGGAGTGTGAGGAGGAAGAGGTAGAGGAAGATAAAGGGAGCTTCTGTGCATCGCCAGAGAGCAGCAGGGATGGCTTCCAGGAGGGCAGGGAGGCCATTGTGGCCCGGCTCACAGAGAGCCTGTTCCTGGACCTGCTCGGAGGTGACAATGGGGACTTTTGCCAGCAGGACATGGAGGAGTCGTGCCTTGTTCTACCTTCAGGAAGCGCGAGTGCTCACATGCCCTGGGATAAGTTCCCAAGTGCAGGGCCCAAGGAGGTGCCTCCCCGGGGTGAAGAGCAGCCTCTGCACCTGGAGCCAAGTCCTCCAGGCAGCCCGACCCGGAGCCCAGACAACCCGACTTGCTCAGAGATGCCCCTGGTCATCGCAGACAACCCCGCTTACCGCAGCTTCGGCAACTCCATGAGCCAGTCCCCATGTCCCGGAGAGCTGGATCCAGACCCACTGCTAGCCAGACACCTGGAGGAAGTGGACCCCGAGATGCCTTGTGCACTGCAGCCCTCTGAGCCAACCAGTGTGTCCCCTCCTGAGCCAGAAACCTGGGAGCAAATCCTCCGCCGGAATGTCCTCCAGCATGGGGCGGCTGCAGCCCCCACCTTGGCCCCCACCAGTGGCTATCGGGAGTTTGCACATGCGGTGGAGCAGGGTGGCATCCCGACCGGTGCGGTGGGGGGCTTGGGTCCCCCGGGAGAGGCTGCGTACAAGGCCTTCTCGAGCCTGCTTGCCAGCAATGCCGTGTCCCCAGAGACATATGGATTTGGGGCCAGCAGTGGGGAGGAGGGGTATAAGCCTTTCCAAGATCTCATTCCTGGCTGCCCCGAGGACCCTGCCCCAGTCCCTGTCCCCCTGTTCACCTTTGGACTGGACAGGGAGCCACCTTGCAGCCCACAGAGCTCACATCTCCCAAGCAGCTCCCCAGAGCAATTGGGTCTGGAGCCAGGGATAAAAGGAGAGGACACGTGGAAGCCCCCACTCCTCCCAGAGCAAGCCACAGACCCCCTTGGGGACAGCCTGGGCAGTGGCATCGTCTACTCAGCCCTAACCTGCCACCTGTGCGGCCACCTGAAGCAGTGTCATGGCCAGGAGGATGGTGGCCAGGCCCCTGTCGTGGCCAGCCCTTGCTGTGGCTGCTGCTGTGGAGATAGGTCATCGCCCCCTACAATCCTTCAGAGGGCCCCAGACCCCTCTCCAGGTGAGGTTCCACTGGAGGCCAGCCTCTGTCCAGCCTCCCCGGCACCCTTGGGCATCTCAGAGAAGAGTAAATCCCCATTGTCCTTCCATCCTGCCCCTGGCAGTGCTCAGAGTTCAATCCAGATCCCCAAAATCATGAACTTTGTCTCCGGGGAACCCACATGCATGAGGGTCTCTTAGATGTGTGGCCTCTTGTTGCTGAGTTCTGCAGATGAGGACTGGGGCTTATCCATGCCTGGGAAATGCCTCCTCCTGGGAGGCAGTCAGCCTGGCAGATTTCTGTTGTTGTTGTTGTTGTTGTTTTTTTTTTGAGATGGAGTTTCGCTCTTGTTACCCAGGCTGGAGTGCAATGGCTTGATCTCGGCTCACCGCAACCTCCGCCTCCTGGGTTCAAGCAATTCTCCTGCCTCAGCCTCCCAAGTAGCTGGGACTACAGGCGCGCACCACCATGCCCAGCTAATTTTTGTATTTTTAGTAGAAACGGGGTTTCACCATGTTGACCAGTATGGTCTCGATCTCTTGACCTTGTGATCCACCTGCCTCGGCCTCCCAAAGTGCTGGGATTACAGGCGTGAGCCACCGTGCCCGGCCCTAACCTGGCAGATTTCTAAAAGACTCGAAGAACCGTTGTATGAAGGTATTAGGTCCCACTGACATTGGCCTAACAGTGGGCTGCAGAGACTGGACCCCTCCCTGTGGCATTGCGCTGGGCTTGCCACATCCCGTGAGAGTAGAGGGCACTGGGGAAACTGAGGCCCTTGGGCACCTTGACTTGTGAACAAGTTGTTGGCCGTTCCGTCCACAGCTTCTGCAGCAGAGTGTCCCGTCCCTGTTGTACCCACCCAAGGCAAGTTTTGTCCACCAAATCACCATGGCCCACGTCTCTCACCCGCCTCCATCTCACTGGACTAGAAGCTGAGCTTAGAAACTAACAAAGCCATCAAGGGAATGACTTGGGCGGCCTTGGGAAATCGATGAGAAATTGAAGTTCAGGGAGGTGGTCATTGCCTAGAGGTGCTCATTCATTCAACAGAGCTTCCTCGGGTTGACGCTGGAGGCAGAATCCCGGCTGTCAAGGGATTCTCCTTCAGTGAAGGAGAGCAACAGAGGACTTGAAAAATAGCTGTGACTAAGGCAGGGACAGTCTGCTGCCAAACACCCACGCCTAGTTGTATGGCTCTTCATCATCGTGGGACCCCCAGAATAAACACGCCCAGCTACCTTGTGACCAGATGCAAAGGACATGGTTGCTGGCAGCCACAGAGAAACCACGGACCCAGCCCGGGCAATCCAGATAGCAGACGTAAGGCAGCGGCAACCCTGCACATTGGCCCAGACGTCAGGTGCTGGGAAAGGCGGGGACCATGGGTTGAGTAATGCTTGTCTGTGTGTTTTGAAGATAGATAGTTTTATGACCTGTTATCTGTGTTTGCTGAGGAGAGTGGAACAGAAGGGGTGGAGTTTTGTATAAATAAAGTTTCTTTGTCTCTTTATTTTTTAATGTATTGACCAAACACACTGCTAGGCACTGCTGTGAGTCCTATGTCTCTGTCAACTCCTGGAATTCACCCATCAAGAGAGCCAGAGCTCAAGAGGTTAAGGAACTTGCCATCAGTGTTTGGGTTCCGCAGACAAGGATTCAGTTGATTGAGGAAGTGATCCCAGGAAACCCTGCTAAGGGGTGGGAAAGTGAGGCAGGGAAAGGCATGAACCAACAAAGTATTACCCGAAAGGGATCTTGGTCCAGACCCCAAGAGAGCGTTCTTGGATCTCATGCAAGGAAGAATTCATGGCAAGCCCACAGAGCCAGTGAAAGCAAGTTCATTAGGAAAGTAAAGGAATAAAGGAATGGCTACTCCATAGAGCAGCCCCAAGGGCCGCTGGTTGCTATTTCATGCTTATTTCTTGATGATATGCTAAACAAGGGGTGGAGTATTCATGCCTCCCTTTTTTGGACCATGGAGGTAACCTCCGGACATTCCCATGGCATTTGTCAGTTGTCGTGGTGCCGTAGGTGTAGCAGTAAGGACGACCAGAAGTCACTCTTACTGCCATCATGGCTTTGTTGGGTTAGAGCCGGCTTCTTTACTGCAAACTGTCTCATCAGCAACGTCTTTATGACCTGTATCTGGAGTGACCTAGCTCATTCTGTGATTAAGAATGCCTTCACTTCCTGGGAATGCAGTCCAGTAGGTCTTAGCCTCATTTTACCCAGCCCCTCTTCAAGATGGAGTTGCTCTGGTTTACACAAGCAACTGACAAAAGAGTGAGTTATCCAACAGATTACCAGTGTGGACAACTGACGCTTACCTGCTGGGGATCTCTGAAAGACCATGCACGGCACATGCCCGGAGTTATCCCTGCAAAGGGGAGGGAGCTGGGGTATTTGTCCACCCACTCCAATCTATCATTGGTTGAGAGCTGCTTCCAGGAGCATTAATTCTTCAGCACTTCCAGCTACTCCAGGAAAAAATAAATTCTTCAACTGAGATTTGGAGGTGTTGAAAGACTCTGGTACACCAAGGAGATGTGGACTGGACACTAACAGTGGCTGGCACACTTTGTCAAGGTCACACAGCTAGTTAGCGACAGGCCTATAGTGGAATCCAGTGTCTCCGTCACCCAGACTCTGTAGTGATCTGCACTTCACATCCCAGGCAGGCAGAGTGATGGAGTGGGCCTCAGATGAACAGGCTGGAACCTAAAGCTCCAATGTCTGTATCACTTTGCATCTCAGTAGCTGCCCTGACTCCACACTTAAGAGGCTTGGCCATTTGAGATTCCTTCCTGCTCTCAGAGCCTTTGTAATACACTGGAAATGATGGGGAGCTCTCTGTCTCACATGCAGCCTGACGTTTGTTAGAAACACCTCCTTGTGCCAGGCATGGTGGCTCACGGTTGTAATCCCAGCACTTTGGGAGGCCAAGGTGGGTGGATCACTTGAGGTCAGGAGTTCAAAACCAGCCTGGCCAACATGGTGAAACCCTGTCTCTACCAAAAAATACAAAAATTAGCCGGGTGTGGTGGCAGGCGCCTGTAGTCCCAGCTGCTTGGGAGGCTGAGATGAGAGAATTGCTTGAACCTGGGAGGCAGAGGTTGCAGTGAGCTGAGATCGTGCCATTGCACTTTCAGCTTGGACGACGGAATGAGACCCTGTGTTGGAAATAGATGCTTGGTGCTGCAAAGAAAAATTAGCACTGATACAAAGGATTTTTCAGCAACACAGTTTTTACTTCCTGGACTGCAGGAAGGGTACTCTCGCTACCCATCATGCCATGAGAGTACAATGAACAAAGGAAAACACACAAATTTATCCCTTATGCATTTGGGGTCGTCCTTACCGCTGTGTCTGATCTCCATTGGCTGGAGCCAGACCTCACAATCTAAACTAAAATCTGATTGGCTAATAACTTGAACTTTTCTAAACAGGTAAAAACAATGGAGAGCTGGGTGCCTGTGGGCCTGTCCAGCACAGATATCTTAGTTAAAGTACAAGGACATAGAAAGTACTACGTGTCTGTAAGCATGGCATGTCTAACAACTACATAGGATAGGGCTTAACAAAGTTATTGGCACACTTATTCTTTAACAAGAAAGGAAACTTTAAAAAGGAACTTTTTTACTTCCATATCCTGTCTCAAAAAAGAAAAAAAGAAACACCTCCTTGTTCTAAGCCCCAATCTGTCCCTTTAGCTGCCAAAATCACACAGTTTATAGATGGAGAAACAGTCTTAGGAAAAGAGATTTGCCCAAAGCCACACAGAGAATGGCAGAGCCTGAACTAGCCTTCTAGACTTCTTGTCTCCAAAAACTCTTTATAATAAAATATAATTTTAAATAAAAATAGATATCTATTCAGGGTCAAGCAAGATGCTAAGTGCCATCCACCCGTGTCATTTACATCTGCAAACAGCTCCAGTCAGCAGGCTCACTGATTGTCCCAATTTTACAGATAAGGAAACAGGTCCAGAGAGGCTGAGGATTAGCCTAGAGCCACGCAGCTAGGAAATCCTGGAGCCAGGATTTGAACCCAGGTCTGACCTAAGAGCTCCCGGCTACCATGCTATGCTAGCTCATGTCATCCTGGCGCCTACTCAGATGTTGGCTGGAATCCACTTTGCCTGAGCATTGTCTCAGAAAAATCTAATTTAAAAATTAGGCAGCAAATAGAAAATATATTTGAGTGCTAGAATGCAGTTGAACTGGGAGCTCAACACAGAATAGAGGCTGGACTCATGGTTCCCTCCCCAGGATATTAGGCAAAGGAAATCCAGGTTGTTGGCCTCAGCTCCTATTACTGAACTGGCTGGGCTTTGGGAAGCTGGAATGGAAGGCTGCACAGAGACACCTCCCATCTGGCCTTAAACCCACCCTGCCAGGCTCAGGGAAGCTGGAGAAAGCCCAGCCAATCTTCCTGCTTCCCCAGCTTCCTACAGGGAAGGAGGGAGCAGAGAAGCCACACATCCTCCCAGTATTTACTAAGCACCTGCTGTGGACCAGGCACTGCGCAGAGTGCTGGGGGCCACACCTGTAATGATAGAAGTGAGGTCTCTTCCCTTCCATCAGTGGAGACAAAGGCATTAAATAGACAGAAGGACACGATGCAAACACTGATGGGTGCTACAAAGGGGGCAAGTGGGGCCCGATGTGTGAGTTGCGCCCCCAGTGTCTGGGGGAAGAGCAATCAGGACGAGGGTAGAGCGAGTACAGAGGCCCCAAGGCACCAGGATTTTGGCACAATCACAGTCCAGAAAGATCGGCGACAGCAAAGTTAGCCAAGGGCTGTGGTGGGACATAAGGTCAGCCAGAGGGTGGAAGTTGTATTTTGGCTTAAACGCACATTAGCTCCGCCCACTGAGAAACCTGATCCAATAGAAACCAGTCTTTTGTCAATCGCCCCAACCCCAAAACATAACCCACCCATAATCAGGAGCCAAGGACGGGAAGTGGAGGTCCTGGAAGTGTTCCTCCAACAGGGCCCCCTTCCATCTTGCAGAAGTTCAGGATTCAGGTTCCTCTTGACAACAGCGACTGGGGTGGATGAAATCCTCACTGCTGGTGTTCTCACTCTGGAGCACAGTGACTCCCAGTAGGAATGAGGTGACTCACACCAGGGAGCTGCTGGCTGCCAGGGAGCTTCTGTGACAAAGGACTTTTTAAAAAACCTCCGGAAAATGTGGCCCTCTGCCTCCCATGCACTAGTCTCTGAATTAATCAAGGAACCCAAGGGCCTGTGGGGTGTGAAAACCCAGACTACTTCTCTGTGTCTCCTTTATCCTGC